AACATAAGATGTAACTCCATAAAAACCCTAGAAGAAAACCTAGGCAAAACCATTCAGGACATAGGCATAGGCAAGGACTTCATGACTAAAACACCAAAAGCATTGGTGACAAAAGCCAAAATAGACAAATGGAACCTAATTAAACTCCAGAGCTTCTGCACAGCAAAAGAAACAATCATTGGAGTGAACTGGCAACCAACAGAATGGGAAAAAAAATTTGCAATCTACTCATCTAACAAAGGGCTAATATCTAGAACATACAAAGAACTAAAACAGATTTTCAAGAAAAAAACAAACCAATCCAAAAGTGGGAGAAGGATATGAACAGACACTTTTCAAAAGAAGACATATATGAGGCCAACAAACATATGAATAAATGCTCATCATCACTGATTATAAGAGAAATGCAAATCAAAACCACATTGAGATACCACCTCATGACAGTTAGAATGGCGATCACTAAAAAAATCTGGAGACAACAGATGCTGGAGAGGATGTGGAGAAATCGGAATACTTTTACATTGTTGGTGGGAGTATAAATTAGTTCACCCGTTGTGGAAGAGAGTGTGGCGCTTCCTCAAGGACCTAGAAATAGAAATTCCATTTTACCCAGCAATCCCATTACTGGGTATATACCCAAAGGATTATAAATCTTTCTGTTATAAAGACACATGCACACATATGTTCATAGCAGCACTGTTTACAATAGCAAAGACCTGGAACCAACCCAAATGCCCGTCAATGATAGACTAGACAAGGAAAATGTGGCACATATACACCATGGAATACTATGCAGCCATAAAAAATGATGAGTTAGTGTCCTTTGTAGGGACATGGATGAATCTGGAAACCATCATTCTCAGCAAACTGACACAAGAACAGAAAATCAAACACTGCATGTTCTCACTCATAGGCACGTGTTGAATAATGAGAACACATGGACACAGGGAGGGGAGCATCACACACTGGGGTCTGTTGGTGGGGGGCCAAGTGGGGGATGGGGGGGTGGGAGGTTGGGGAGGGTTAACATGGGGAGAAATTCCAGATGTAGGTGACAGGGGGGTGGAGGCAGCAAACCACATTGTCATGTATGTACCTATGCAACAATCCTGCATGATCTTCACATTTACCCCAGGACCTAAAGTACAATAAAAAAATAAAATATTCTTGAAAAAAAAGGAAACAAAGAAAGAAAGAGCCTGTCCTAGGCCATTTACAACAGAAAAAAGTCTAACGAGAGGGTGAATGAGAAAGAGATGAGGCACGGCCCAGGTAGGAGCAGATTCTGGGCCACTTTTGCACTCCAAGTGGAAAGAAAAGATGTAAGAAGAAAATGATGATCAGAGACAACTCTTGATTTTTCCAGGCTCTGAAAGGAAGGAACCCTAAGAGGCTAAGTTGCAGCCTTTGCCAACTTTAATGTAACCAACAAAAAGTTCCTGGAGTTGAATCACCTTCCCCAATCTTGTGGAATAGCATGTTAAATCTAGAGATCAAAGGGTATATCCAAACACCACTCTAGGACCAATTAACCAAATAGCAGTTTGCCTGATGTTATCTTAACAAAACCAATTTATTTAATGAACAAATCTAATTCATTAAAAGCTAATAGATGGTATATCAATTTGTCAAATGGCCAACTCATGGAAACGTGGCACACTATTATTTTATACCAGGTCTAGAATTGTGTGCTGCCACCAGAGACAGAGCCCAAGCCGAGCTAGGGCCAAGTGCCAGGGTAAGAGACCATGGCAAACTGGAGAACATATGGGAAGTAGCTCCAGCCAGTCACTACTTTGTAGGATATGGACCCAATGTTACCAGAGCTCTGAAGTTTTAAAACAAAGGCTGAAATCTGAATTTTCTATGTAAATTGTGCTGACATTTGCATTTTGGCAAATACTTAACATTAAAACAAAAACAAAATGAACACTGTCCAGGCCAAATGCATCCCTTCTGAGGGCTTGATTTGCCTGTGTGCCTTTAGTTTGCAATCTCTGCTGGAGACCTTGGGCATCTGCCTCTTAAATGTTCATGCTTTCAGCTGTGAAATGTGGCTCCAGAGCCCCGCAATATATAGTAATTTGTAATTGTGCTGGTGTACAGATTTGTATCCCAAATGCTCCAAGGCTAACTTCTCAATGTGATTTACTTAGCTAGTGAAAGTGCTTTGATCTCTGCCCAGTTTCTACATTTCAATGTGGCTTTAGGGTTTTTTAACAAAATTTTAATACCTAGTACCTCTCATAAAACAAATAAAACTTCATTAAAAGAAGAAAAAGGACTTTGGAAAGCAGGGGATGGAGTTGACTTCTAATTCTGGAGATAGAAATGAAGACAAAATAAAAAGGTCTACTAAATATTTAACTAGGAAATAACTTTGGGGACATTGAGGTAGGATTCAGTGTGGGTAACAGTGGGGGTTTTGAGTGGAAACAATCAGCATTTTTAGAACATGCTAGTAAGCATTTGGAAAGAAGGTGTATGAAGAGATTACTTGAAATTTCAGTTACACTTTACTTCATTTTAAGAAGAGATTTGTGTACTATACAGTATTTTTGAATTATTAATTTTTAATTTAAAATATTAAATATATTTGAGAGATGAGAGACTCACCCTTATGAATGCCAAGAAACTGTGTTATGCTTTATAAGTTATCCTACTGAGTTCTCCCACTTTGTTTTTAACGTTTAGATCCCTCAAAGGGATTTCTGAGGGCAGTGACTTTCTGCTTTTTTTTTGCTATTTACTTTCATACTTTGAGTACAATGTTCTGTTCGTAGAAGGCTCTTAATAAATTCAATGCTTTGAATTATTTAAATGTGTCTTCCCATTTTAAACATTTATGGCTTAAATAAATATTTCTATCAACTCTAGAAATTATGTGTGTACCTTGAGTAGTGAAGAGGGACAGGCCTTGTACATAGAGGAATATAAAACTTACTCTGTGACCAAAACCCTGCAGGTCATGATTTGAAATCCTTCTTTGCATATCTTTATCTTCTTAAAATATTTAGTTGGGAATCATATAACAGGAGGTTTCTTCTAGGGTTCTAGTATTTCCAGGACTAGAAATGATACTGAATAAAAGGTCTTTGTGTTTTGCTTTGAATCCAAATCAAAAGGTTTTTGGGATGAAAAAGCCAGGTGCACTTTTAAAATAAAGTATTGGAATCATCATATAGTATTTGGTCTTGCCTAAAAGAATCTATGGAAACTTTTCATGAGAGTGTATGGAACACGGTAGATCTTGCAAGCCTAAGGCCTGATTTGCTACATGATGAAATTTCTCTCATCCCCAAATCAACTGCTGCACTTCTCCTTGCCTCTTTGCCTTATCATGCTGTCTTTCAGCATCTTGGGATAAGTCAAGCAAACAGAGAAGTTCTAGAACAAGAGCTTGAGTTCAGTTGCCTGGACTCCTTTGTTTGGCAGAGAGGTTTCCCTTCCAGCAACAGGACAATTAAAAACGGGGGAACCAGTAGGCCAGACAGCACAGGACTGATGAAATTGAAAAGGACTTGATTGGTGGGGAGTGAAATTTCATTTCTAATTGTCATAGATCCCTCTTCCTTATTAATAATTTTCTTAAAAAGCCTTTCTTTGGAAACATTATGCTTCTCAAGTGAGAAAGTCTGTTGAAAAATTTGAAAAGAGAGGTATTTGAAGAAGGCGGTTACTTCGTACCTTTTTAGAAGCTGCTATATCTAATGCAGGAGATGACTGGTGAGGTCTGGCATAAAAAATTACTTGGAATATTTATCTCAGGATTGATCAGCAAAAGAGCCTAGGTATATAGAAATTGTTTAATTGTTTTCTTAAATTGGATTTTCATCCAAAATGGGGATTATTTCCCAAGTAATACCAATTCATTTAGACATTACCCAGTGGGTTCCTGGTTATTTTTGAGATCCCTATTTCCATATTGTCTCTGAGTAACATTAAAAATTGAAGTACATTTCTTCTGTTGCTTTTATTGTTGTTTTTTCTCCATGAGGTAATGTGTTTACCATTCTCTCAAGGGATAGTTGTTCATGCGTTATTCAGGAAATATTTCTACAGCCCCAATTATATGCAGGGTATTTTAAATACATATATATATATATATATATATATATATATAATCCAATATATATATATATATTTGTAGATATATTTGTAGATAATCAAATATATATATAATCAAAGCAAATAAAGAAAAATAAACTCACATATATACATAAATGTTCACTTTAAAATGTTCAGAGATTAGGCAGGAATGTACCCTTCTGAGATTACTTTGGCAAGTTACTATGATTTATTGGCAAAGAACTTCGTCCTTGGTGAAATAGCTGAAATATCATTTGCTTTGGTCCATGCTATACTCCATAGTTTGAACTGAACTCTGCTGTGTATAACTAGATTACAAATTCCTTTTATGCGAAACCTGTCATTTTTATTTTCATTGAATTTTATTTTCTGCCTGTTACAACATAAACATTACAAAAGTATTTTTGATGTTTAGATTTATGGAAAATAGTGGAAATATCCAAGCCCAGAACAAAATATTTGGTGTTTTCACTTCTTATCATTATTTGATTTCACAACTTTCTTCCATCTTAAAAGATTGTATTATTTTTTTCTCCCAAATCTACAAATAAGACTTTATTAGTTTATAAAATAAGGGACTTATTTTATAATAAGACTTATTTTATAAAACAAGTCCCTTATTTTATAAACTAATCTCAATGTATTCTAATCTCAATCTTTTAAATGAATTTTCTAAATGTCTTTAAACAAATTTTCTATAGAATACAATACTAAATATAAAAGTACTAGGCTTTCTAAATTTAAAAGCTGAATTTTGGTGATTTTGTTGACTTTTTATCAAGTATATTTGGGATCAGTTACTTGTGTTTTAGAATTTAAATAATTACATTTTTTTTAATTTGAAGAATTAAATATTGCCTTTAAAATATCTGACGAGAATTTGTTTGTTTTGAATATTCTTTTGCTTTTAGGTGATCTGGCCTCTTGGGATCTGCTCATTTGCCTGTCTTCTAAGAAAGCTGAAGGAAAACCCTGCATATCCAAGGAAGTCATGTGCCAGTTAGGTTTACATCAAAAGGTAATACTCTCAAAATGTGCACAGATTTTATCAACTCTATAGATATTAACACTGGCATTTCTTGGTCTATAATGTTTAAGAGTCTTAAAGAATTAGAGTTATTATATCTTTGGAGAATCTTCCAACTGGCCATGCCTTATATACTTTACCATAAAATAGTCACCATTTTTTGTTTAATAAGACCTCCCTCAGCTTCAGTTGCTGCAGATACTGTTGTTTCACTCAGTAGGACTCAACTTTATCTAGAAATCTGTAGCCTATAAAGTATAGGTTAATCTGACAACTTGTTCATCCGAAGTGGTGAAGTCTTTATGTCTTAGATGACTGTTCTAATTTTTTCTAACTTAAGTTGGTATCTTAAGTTGCAAAAAAATTTACAAAATTTCTAATTACCTTTTAAAATTGACATTTAGTACTTACTGTTTATATTGTGTGAACTTTTGTAAATGGTTTTAGAAAACTTAACTAAAAATCATCCAGTGTTTGCCATGTGCTAGTTACTTCGCTGGAAAATTTACATATTGTTATCTATAACAAATCTGTAAGAAAAGTGCCGAAACCAATAGCTATTATTCAGCCCCTAACTAGAGATGGAGTAGTGTACCCAGATTACTTGCTATTCCTACAATTGACCATCTAGATAACCCCTTTCATCTAAATCTTCACCATTTTGGCATCTGGGCTGAGCACACTCTTTTGTGACTCTATGTACATCTCTGGCCATTCCTCCTCTGTTTTCTTTACAACCACCTTTTCTCTGCTCATTTTTGAATGCCTGTGTTCCCTAACAGCAATCCTGAAATTTCAACAACCATTTGTGCTTGAGATTCACAAACCTACCAAAAGGACAGAGCACTTTCCCAGGCTTTAGGGTTGCATAAGCGACAGGCTGCTGAACATCTGCACTTGGATGTTCTACAGACATATGAAACTCAACCTGGTAAAAACTGACTTTTTCTTTTCCTCAGTGAATTATCTTCTGCTTTTGTGTTCAGCAGCTCCAGAGCTTCTGTTCTGTTGGTTATAAACAGAATCACCCAGTCTGTCATCTCCCAATATAGAAATTACCCACTTTTGTCATTTCCTAAGATAGAAGGCCATCACCCTTGAGCCCTTCCTTCCTCTTCCTTGTCATCAGCATTCTATCAATTACCAGTACTACTGAATTTAACTTCTAAACATGGGTTTTTGGTTTTGTTTTTTTTGAGACAGAGTCTCCCTCTGTTGCCCAGGCTAGAGTGCAGTGGGGTGATCTCACCTCATTGCAACCTCTGCCTCCCAGATTGACGCAATTCTCATGCTTCAGCCACCCAAGTAGCTGGTATCACAGATATGCACCACCATATATGGTTAATTTTTGAATTTTCAGTAGAAATTGAGTTTTGCTATCTTGACCAGGTTGGTCTCGAACTGTTTGCCTCAAGTGATCTACCTGCCTCAGCCTCCCAAAGTGCTGTGATTACAGGCATGAGCCACCGTGCCTGACCTTCTTCTAAACATTTCTCACATCTGTCAACTATTCACTGTACTTACTACCTTTATTCTGGACAGATAATCATCATCTCTTACTTGGGTTATTGCTAAATCTTCCTCACTGGTTTTTCTGAAGCAAATATTTTACCCCTGAAATCTATCCTACTCATGGTTATGAGATGAAAAATATAAAATGGTAAATTAGCCTTTTTATATCTACACTTAAAATGTTGTGGCTTTTCATTAACTCTAGAATAAAGTCTTAATATTCGCTTTGTATTAGGCTTCTGGAAAGAATCAAATGCCATATTCATAAAGGTGTATCTGAAGACAAATTAATAAATAAACTATTTACAGAGGTTTTGGCAGTGTAAAAAAAAAAACTGAAAGGCCTAGTGAGGTGCTCAGGAGCCAATAACATTATAAAAGTTTCACCACACTGGGTTGTAAGAGGGATGTGTAGAAGGAATGGTTTAGGTAGAATCTAATGAGAGCTACAACCAAGAAGGAGGTGTCCTCGGAAAGGTGCTGTAAATTTAGTGGAGTATATAGCCTTTACACAGACCTGCAGAGAAGGAGCCTTGGGGATAAACACCCCACCTCTCTGTAATCCCACCCTCCAATCTCTTGCCAATGCCTCCCGTTGGTCCAAGCTAACTGTTAGTCAAAGTGCAAGAGATTTCTCTGTGATGCTACCCACAAAAGTCAGCCTCCTGGGGGACAGAGCAGGGGGCGAAGACCTAGAGGGCCAAATGGTGAATATTTAGCACAATATTCAAGATTTTTTTTGTGGGAGGCTTCTGCCTAACAGTACCCTTTTCTTATCTCTTTCTAACTGGGTGTCATGCTGCAAATGTTATGAAACTGCTTATTATTCCCTAAGCGCCTGTGCTGTTTTCCATCACATACCTTTGTTCTTACTGTTTTGTCTGCTGTCCACCTCTCCACCTCAATGATTTTCAACCAGGGAGAGATTCTGTCTCCTCTAGTAATAGTTGGCAATGCCTAGAGACATTTTTGGTTTTGCCACATCTAGGAGGGAAGGTTGGTACTAGCATCTATAGGTTAAAGCCATGGATGCTGCTAAATACTGTATAATGACCACAACAAATAATTGTGTGGCCAGATAAGTTCATAGCAGCAAGGTTGAGAAACATTGATGTGGTCCCTTGGCTTAAAGTCAGCTGCTTAAGTCCATTAGATTCAGCACCACTATCACCTCAGAAGCTTCAAAGCTTCTGTTTTGTTGGTTATAAGCGGAATCACCCACTCTGTCATCTCCTAAGAGGGAAATCTGGCCTTCACCCTTGAGCCCTTCTTCTTCCTTGTCATCTATAGTCTATCAGTTGCCAATACTATGGAATTTAACCTCTAAATAATTCTCAAGTCTGTTATCTATTCTTTGTACTTACAATCTTTATGCTGGGCAGATGATTATCATCTGGCTCTCCCTGTTGGAATTGTGTGCACTCTGTAACATTGTTAGTTGTAGTAGTTCTGTTTTCCTAATAACTTTGTTACTGTGCTGTGAAGGATTAAACATGTGAATATGTAGTGTACATGCTATTCAATTGAGAACTGGTGAAATGCGTATAACAGCTTATCAACATGTGAAGATACTGGTACTTGATAGCCTCTTGAGGAAAATTTGCTTCCAAATTTTGAGCTGGAAGGTCACCGGAATAACTTTAGAGTAGAATTGCAATACATGGCTTTTTAGGTTTTTGGTACATATGTTAAGAATTATGTACAAATTGAAATGTCTATACTCATCCTCAACTAATAAAATCTCAATTATGAAAGACAAAAAAAAAAAAACACAGTCTACCAAAACTCACAAAACTAACACAAAGTAATATGAATAGGCCTACATCTCTTGAAGATATAAAAAAAAAAAAAAAAAAAAGCAGCTTTCCCATCTATTTCCCAGCTGGTGTCTTCCTTGTACTTAGAAACAGTGTTGTTGGTATGCTGTTTCAGACCATTACACTGAAAGCATTGAGGAACACCCAATACTACTTTGGCTGCCACTGATGGCTCCTGTGATAGTTAAGTTCCCAGCCTGGGGTGCAAAATGTCTCCCCACAGCTGCGAAATTTTTGAGATGCCCAAAGTCCTTGGGTTTCATCAGTCCTATCTGAATTGAGACTAGACCTTGTTCAGTATAGATCAAGGAGAATATTATTCTATTTAACTCAGTTTTTCACTTTGTTTACTGAGCCTCAAAACGTTGGTTGGCACTTGGACAGCACAGAGCTACACATAAAAACTCTTCCCGTGACTCTTATCCCCTCTCCCAGGGCTTTTGTGGTCAGCTCTTGCGCCATCAGTCACTAGCTAAAGGATTTTGATTATGTTATTTAATCTCTGTAGCCTTCAATGTCTTTTCCTGAAGTAAGAAGACATTAGACACTGGACAGTTTCCAAGACACCTGCTAGCTTTAAGTCTGCATGAGTCACTGGAGATGAGTGGAATATGTGATGAGAAGAGAACAGAACAGACCAGCCAGCGATGGCAATGGAGAAGACAAGAAGGGGGTTATGGGTGAAATAAGCAGAAAGGAAAATTATAAAGTACAGTGCCAGTTATTCTGGGATTCTCTTAAATTTAAATTTTTGTTGTTTTTTTGGACACAGAGTCAAACTTTGTCACTCGGGCTGGAGTACAGTGGTGCAACCTTGGCTCACTGCAACCACGGCCTCCTGGGTTCAAGTGATTCTTGCACTCTGCTCAGCTTCCTGAGTAGCTGGGATTACAAGCATGCACCACCTCACCTGGTTAAAATTTCTTGATTTTTAGTAGAGACGGGGTTTTGCCATGTTGGCCAAGCTGGTTTTAAACTCCTGGCCTCAAATGATCTGCCCGCATTGACCTCCCAAAGTGCTGGGATTACAGGCCTGAGCCACTGTGCATAGCCTTAATTTTTATTTTTGACATAATTTTAGACTTGTAGAAAAATTGCAAAAGTAGTACAAAGATTTTTTCAAATACCTTTCAATAGGCTTACTTATTGAAAATCCGTTAGACTCAGCACCACTATCACCTCAGAAACTTCAAAGCTTCTGTTTTGTTGGTTATAAGCAGAATCACCTACTCTGTCATCTCCTAAGAGATGGAATCCTTCTGTAAGGAAGGGCTATTCTTTCTCCTGCATTTATTTGTTTATTCAATAATTTATTTATGTCAGTAAGGGCTAATGGATATTTATTGTATCCTATGGGTTATAAACCAGTACTATTGTTATTAATTTTTTTGTTGTTGCTCAAATTGTTCCAGCTTTGGTCATTGAGAACTTTCTCATGTTGGCTCCTAGTACATACAATAACCATGGTACATTCACCAAAATAAGAAATTAATACTGATACAAACTGTTAACTCAATTGTAAATGTCATTTAGATAGCATCTTTTTTTACAAAAAAAAGTTTGCCCCTTTTCTGCTCTAGGATCCTATCTAGTACCCCTTATTGCACTGTTTTCGTATCTCCAAACTCTCCTTCAATCTGACAGTTTTGCAATTTTTTTTCT